AGAGCATTGAATCAGCCAGCTCACTTTGAGAGGGGGTGTGCTTCCCATTGGTAATGACAAATGACAAATATATCAAAACCTCTGTGATTGCCAACAAGGGTTTTGCCACCAAGTACTAAGTCAAAGGGGTCAAATACTTATTTCACTCATTGACATGCAAATCAGTTTATAACTTTTGACATGCGTTTTTTTGGATTTTTTTTGTTTTGTTACTCTGTCTCTCACTGTTAAAATACACCTACCATTAAAATTATAGACTGATCATTTCTTTTTCAGTGGGCAAACATTCAAATTCAGCAAGGGATCAAATACTGTTTTCCCTCACTGTAATGTTGGGGATTGAATATGAGGGTGTATTTGTGTGTATACAGGGCACCACACGCACACACTGATACACATACACACACAGGCAGATACACAGCTACAAACACTGACACACATACATACAGATACACACACTGAGACACATACAGATACACAGATACAAACATTGAAACACTGACACACATGCAGGAATTTATTTTAACAATTTAGCCACCCTCCACTTTTCTATCTTTTGGGTGCAGGAGGGTGGTTTCTGCTGTGTGATGCTGTTGGTAGTCAGGCGCTGTCTCTCTCAGTATGTTTCCCATCCTGTTTTCCCTCCCTCCCACACGGCTCTGTTATCTGGGATTTAGTGACAGGCTGTCACACGCAACCGGGCGTGACGTTTGCCTATCAGGTGTCCATCAGCTGCTCAGTCAGTAGTTCCTCCACTGGTGCCAGTGGCCCAGGGGATAATGGCCCTCCTTACCAGGCCTGCTATTTGTATTCATATTTTGTTTTCTGATTATTAAAGGAGAACTATATGGTTAGGAACACAAACATGTATTCCTGACCCTATAGGGCTAAAACCACCATCTAGCCACCCTGACTCCCTCATGCATCCCTAAATATAGTACAATTTTACTTGTATTGAAGTCTGCAGCTGCTTGCTTTGTCACTGTTTCCTTTAGACCTGCCCACTGCCTGCTGACATCATCAGAAGTGGTAGCCTGATCCAATCACAATGCTTCCCCATAGGATTTGCTGAGACTGACAAGGAGGCGGATCAGGGGCAGAGCCTGCATGATTCAAACACAGCCCTGGTCAATCAGCATCTCCTCATAGAGATGAATTGAATCAATGAATCTCTATGAGGAAAGTTCAGTGTCTGCATGCAGAGGGAGGAGAAACTGAATGTTTGGATGCATTTTAGGCAGCCATGACCCAGGAAGGATCTCTAACAGCTATCTGAGGAGTGGCCAGTGAAGTTATCACTAGGCTGTAATGTAAACACTGCATTTTCTCTGAAAAGACAGTGTATACAGCAAAAAGCCTGAAGGTAATGATTCTACTCACCATGGGCATCCGCAAGGGGGGGCAAGAGGGGGCACTTGCCCCCCCCCCCTGGATTTTTCAGCTATTGCTGCTATTTTTGGTTTCAGTATGAGAATACACTGCAATACTGGCACCGGCCAGTAGGTGGCGCTGTCAATGGGTAAAGGCAGGAAGCTACAGCTTATCCCTGCCTCTCTCTCATGACTGAAACAGCAAGGGAGCAGCACAGAGGCAGCCTACAGATGAGGTAAGTGAGGGATGGGGGGGTGAGACCATAGACATATTATACATAGACGTCGCATTGACCGCTACTGCCTACTGGCGCTGATGAGCCGCGGGGCCGCCATATTGGATCGGTCACCCGCTCCACTCAGTGAACATGGAGGATGCAGCAGCAGCAGCAGCTAAGCAGACACTAACCACGAGCATACCCGGGTCCACACTGCGGGACATGGCCATGGAAAACAGCGGAGGAGGAATGCTGACTACAGCCGGTGAGAGTCAGCAGAGAGCGGGGAGATGGGGTGCAGCTGGAAGAGATACTTGTTATATAAGAGGCATGGCAGGGGTACAGTAAGTGGAATGATGGAGTGGTATGGCAGGGGTACAGTAAGTGTATTGTTCGAGGGGCATGGCAGGGGTACAGTAAGTGGAATGATGGAGTGGCATGGCAGGGCTACAGTAAGTGTATTGTTCAAGGGGCATGGCAGGGGTACAGTAAGTGGTATGTTGGAGGGGCATGGCAGGGGTATAGTAAGTGGGATGATGGAGAGGCATGGCAGGGGATATAGTAAGTGGGATGGTAAGTGAGATGATGGAGGGGCATGGCAGGGGATATTGTAAGTGGGATGATGGAGGGGTATGGCAGGGGTACAGTAAGTGATGATGGAGGGGCATGGCAGGGGTGCTTTGTTCACTGGATGCAAGGGTCTGCAAATCACTTTGAAATGACTTATTTATGTACTCAGAGCATGTGTTCTATATATACATTTCAAGGTCCGACTATCAAGTTTTCACTAACATTGTTTTGTACCAGTAATTTACACAACTAGAAGTACACATAGACATACATATTATATGTCTATGGAAGTACGACCAGCCCAAAATGGCGCCCGCATTTCTCGACCACCAGAGGTCAGTGCGACGTCTATGTATAATATGTCTATGGGTGAGACAGCATAGAGGAAGGTAAAGTACAAGGAGCAGAAATGATCAGAAAGGTTCTGCAAGGGGCAGGAGGGGTCAGCAAGGAATAGAATGGGGCAGCAAGAAGCAGGAAGGGGTAGGAAAGGTTTGCAAGGAGCAGGAGGGTAAAGTAGAAGGAGCAGAAATTAGCAGAAAGGGGCAGCAAGGAGCAGGAGGGGTCAGCAAGGAGTAGGAGAGATCAGCAGGAAGGGGTAGGGATGGTCTGCAAGGAACAGGAGGGGTCAGCAAGGAGCATGAAGGGTCTGCAAGGAGCAGGAAGGGTCTGCAAGGAGCAGGAAGGGGCAGCAAGGAGAAAGAAGCTGCAGCAAGGAGAAAGAAGGGGTAGCAAGGAGTAGAAAGGGTCTGCAAGGGGCAGGAAGGGTCAGCAAGGAATAAGAAGGGTCTGCAAGGGGCAGGAGGGGTCAGCAAGGAGTAGGAAGGGTCTGCAAGGGGCAGGAGGGGTCAGCAAGGAGTAGGAAGTGGCAGCAGGAAGGGGTAGGGACAGTCTGCAAGGAGCAGGAGGGGTCACCAAGGAGTAGGAAGGGTCAGCAAGGAGTAGAAAGAGTCTGCAAGGGGCAGGAGGGGTCAGCAAGGAGTAGGAAGGGTCTGCAATGGGCAGGAAGGATCTGCAAGGGGCAGTAGGGGTCAGCAAGAA